ATATATATATATATATTTATATAAAAATAATAAACTTATCTCTACTCGCACAGCAGGACCGAACCTCAACTTTGGGATCAGAGTACACAGACTCTGAGTACACAAACCGACCCCAAATAAGTTGGGCGCCTACCGAGCTAAGCGACGTTGCCCCATACCCCCGGGGCACCCGGGTTTTTTTGAACGTTATTTCATCCAATCCTGACATGCAAGGTGACGAAAGATTTTAAATGCTTTTAATTCGCAAAAAGGGGAATTATTTTTAAAGGGACTGGCCCGCAACTGTGACAACACACCCGTCAGGGCGCACCAAGTGCATACCTCAATTAAATGCTTATTAAAATTTGCCGAGAAGTTATACAGGAAAAACGGGGAAACGCATTATAAAATGTTCAGTATACTCCTTAAAAACCGTGTTCCATTGATCCTAAAAGTGTTCCACTGAAGTGTTTTAAAACCTAAAAATTTGTATTCTATTGTATTTTTTCCATGGATGACCGACTGAAAAGCCAAAAAATTTTTTAAATTGATTTTCCCCTTTGACAAATTTCCATAAAGATTATGTTCCCTTTATTGCATATTTCAACACTTTTTTTTCCCTTTACCAAATCAAAGAAAAAAATCACTCCTAATTTTGGGTCATAAATAAAAGGCTTTCCCAAATTTCTTCAGAAAACCAAAAATTTTTTTCAATCTGGGTGGGGGATATTCATGCATTTATGGGGATTCCCCATTCCAGTGTACTATGAAATATTTCTTCTTTAGTTTTTTCCCTTGAGGTATATCATAGTTTCGTCCCGGGAGATCGTATAATAATTGTGATTTAATAGTGTCACAGATGAGATCGACTGTATAATTAAATGTCAGTGTTGTGTGGTAGTGTACATGGTATCATTTAAGAACATAAGAAAGAAGGAACACTGCAACAGGCCTACTGGCCCATGCGAGGGAGGTCCAATTCTCCTACCGGCTTAAGCCAATGCCCTAACCTTGTGTGTACTCACCGTAGCCTTAAGTTTTGCCGTCTTATACAGTCTCTGCACCTGGAAGAGAAATTAAAGTAATTCACGAGAAACTAATGTTATATTTATCATTTCTACCGAACATTTTAATCCTCTAAAGCATGAGAAAACAGAAATAGATAGTCTTATCTTTTCACAGAATAATTAGATCTGACACGTTTGTTAAATGTATAACTAGTGATTAAAAACCCTTGATGTATTATCCCTCATTTAGAAAACAATCCATGGAAGAAATTTTATTCCTAATAAAGGTATATTTTTCATTGACTATGACATATCTTTTTTTTTTTTTTTTAAATTAAGCTTAACCAAGAAACCTTACCTAAAATCTGCTATGTATAACAGGTCAGTTTGAGTTTATTAAGTATTACATAAAATGAGTTTAACTCAGTGTATTGGTGCAAACTTTGTACAAAAACGGTCCATACATAACGTCAGTTTTCGGGATTTGTTTTGAAACCGGACACGTGTTAGTCCCATTAACAACAATCTTCAACACATCTATCGAAACACGGCGACTACCTGAGGTATGGAACACAGCAAATGTAGTCCCAATTTTTAAAAAAGGGGACAGGCACGATACATTAAACTACAGACCAGTGTCAGTGATATGTATAGTATGCAAAGTCATGGAGAAGATTATCAGAAGATGAGTAATGGAGCACCTAGAAAAGAAAAAGCTTATCAACGCCAGCCAGCACGGTTTCTGAGATGGGAAATCCTGTGTCACAAACCTGGAGTTCTATGACAGGGTGACAGCAATAAGACACGAGAGAGAAAAGGATGGGTAGATTGCAGAGACAACAGCGAGTTATGGTACATGGCGAGGTGTCAGAGTGGGCGCCTGTGACTAGTGGGGCTCCACAGGGGTCAGTCCTAGGACCGGTGCTGTTTCTGGTATTTGTGAACATGACGGAAGGAATAGACTCCGAAGTGTCCCTGTCTGCAGATGATGTGAAGCTGATGAGTATTCAACCCGACGAGGATCAGGCAGAACTACAAAGGGATCTGGATAGGCTGCAGGCCTGATCCAGCAACTGCCTCCTGGAGTTCAGCCCCACCAAGTGCAAAGTCATGAAAATCGGGAAGGGCAAAAAAGACTGAAGATGGAGTTCAGTCTAGGGAGCCAGTGACTCCAAACATAAGTCAAAGAAAAGGATCTTGGGGTGAGTATAACACCAGGCACATCTTTTGAGGTGCATATCAACCAAATAACTGCTGAAGCATACGGGCGCCTAGCAAACCTAAGAACAGCATTCCGACATCTTAATAAGGAATCATACAGAACCATGTATACTGTGTACGTTAGGCCCATATTGGAGTATGCAGAACCTATTTGGAACCCACACCTAGCCAAGCACGTATGGAAGCTAGAAAAAGTGCAAAGGTTTGCAACAAGACTAGTCCTGGACCTACGAGAAGTTATGAGAAATCGACCTGACGATACGGGAGGACAGGAGAGATAGTGGGGGATACAATTACGGCATGTAAAATACCGAGAGGTATAGACAAGGTGGATAGAGAAAGGATTTTCCAGAGATGGGACCGCAAAAAGGGGGTCGCATTGGAATTGAAGACTCGTTTAATCAAAAGGATATTAAAAACATTTCGGTAGTCACAGGTTGTCGAAAGTAAAAATAGCCGGGGGAAGGATTAGTGGAATCAGGTTAAAACATAGCTTTAAGAAGAGTATGAAAAAGCTCAGGGATTGAAGAGTAACCTACTAGCGATCAGTAAAGAGGCAGACCCGGAGCTCACTTGACCCCTGAAAACCACAACTAGGTAGGTAAAACTAGGTGGTACCAACTACTCACATTCACACATACCCACACACACACACACACACGCACCCTCAGACCACACCACTACATACCACATAATGCACAAAAACACACACACGCCACACACACATAACATAAACACACAAACACAACAAACACCCAAAAAACCACAAACACACACACAGTAGGGACAGCACGCGCGAGTCACGCCTTCGTGCTCCGGGGAATAAAAGTGTTTTGAGGGTTTCCCAAAGTGTTCTGCAAGGGTTGCTAGTGTGTCAGGGTATGAACAACCCTAAAGTGTTTTTTTAATCTGCTTTGAGCCCCGAAATAAAAACGTGGGGGGCGCAGAGTGGGCAGGCTAGGGGGGTGGAAAGGCGCTTTAAATGTACCCAGAAAGATAAAAAAGTAAAAACAATCTTGTGCCAGTGAGAGAAAACATGAATGGGGACATTTTAACGAAAGAAATTAGGTGGATCACACCGGACTACATCGAGCGGGGATCACGCCGGGGCGTCACATCAGCTGGAAAAATCACAGGCTACAGCTGCACTAAATACTGTATCCACCTATGAGTGTTGTTTGGGTGTGGGGTTCCGGGTTCCAAAAAACCGCCAAGCTGAATGTGAATGGTCAAACCCCCAAGCACGATAAAGAAAGGCACTCAAGTATTCAATAAGGAAAGCAAGGGTAATCCATTGAAAAAGGGCATTAACTTACTATAAGCAGGTCAAGCATAGGCAACATTGTAAGTGGGTGAGCATAAGTCTCAGGAGGGTGGGAGTCGGGTACAGGAGGTTGGGGCCCAAAGCGAAAACTGGAATCCACTTTAAACACCCCAAGCCCCCAAGCCACCTACTTTCAGACACATAATAAACCCACACAAAATTCACACATTTACACAACACACACAAAAAATAATTCGACACATAATTACAACACACCATACACACACACACAAAAACACCCAACACACACAAAGTACTGCCGCAAGTCCCAGGAGGTTGGGGGTCGGTCACAAGAAGTTGTGGGCAGCCAAGGACCACTAAACTACTTACAAACGAGCCCCCTCCCTTTTCAGTACATAATAAACCCACACATAATTCCACAAAAAATTTACACACAGAACAAAAAAAATATCCAGACCCCACAAAAACACCCCCCCCCTCACCCCACATCTCACTATTTCCCCCTGCCCTCCCCTCCCTCGTTCACCTCCCCTCCCCCATTCACCCTCCCCCCTCCCCCCCCCTCCCGACTCCCCCTCCCACATAGCCACATTTCCTCCACTCCCCCCCCCCACACTCTGCCCAACACACCTAACTAACATATAAATACATAGGTTCCCACTCTGAGGCAACGGAAAAAAACAAAAATGGGTTGCCAGGGGAGCAACAAGAAAACCAAGGGACAGGAGGGGAAACGCAAAGGAAGTTTGGGCAGCAGAGCTCTAAAAAGGGATCATAAATGGGAAAAGAAACAGAAGAACTTGCATGAAATGGAAAGAGGATAGATATGGAAAGCAGGAAGTGGGGTTCATGTCAAAGCAGCAGAGGCTGGGATACAGAGTTTAGAACAGGAATAAAAAAATTGAAAACCTAAAGAATTAAAGAACTTTTGGGATTGACACAGAGACTGCACCTCAGCCAAAAAATAAGGGGACTGTAGGGAAAGAAGGGCCAAACTGCATGGAGAAGCTCTATCAGAGGAACTGTAGTAAATGAAAGAGCAAGCTTATGTGGAGGCCAACAAAAATAACAAGCCCAAGGAAACCCGAGAAGGAAAATGCAGGCCACTGAGCCTAAGTACATTACCATGAAACTGAAGAAAGGAAAGCTGCGTGGAGGAAACCCAAATTTTAAAGAGGGGATACACAGGGTATCAGTGGGAGAATGAAAGGGGAGGTCAGTCTTTTTGTTGGGCTCCCGGAAGTTAAAGGGGGGGGAAATATAAACAAGAAAAAAAAGGGGAAAAAAAGCAATTGAAGATCTGAAAGCAAAAGGGGAACGACATACCCAGCTGAAAATTTTTTGGAGAATAGGGGGGTTTGTAAAAAAAAGAACCCCGGCCAGTGAAAGTACCTTCAAAAGGAGAACGCTCGGACCCGGGTCCTGCAGGAGAAAGCACGATTAAAAGGGACATGCCGGCAACAGGAAGGTGTATTTCCCACCGCGACAGAACACAAAAGAAAGGCAAAACAGAAAAATGGTACAAAGGGGAAAGGGGGGAAAGAGAGGGGAGGGAAGAGACAGGATCCCGACCCCGGGAAAAGATCAAATACGCCTCCCTCAAACTTTCCCATAGAAGCCTCCCAACCAGGTCAACCCCCTGCAAAAACCCAAACCCTAAATCAAAACCCATGCCACATCCAATCCCCCCCCCCACTACATTACAAACTCCACCCCCCCAGCAACAACCCATATTTCCCTTTCCGGTCTCCCATTCCCCAACCCCAAAAAACCCCAGACCACAGTCTTTGTAAAGAATTTAAGGGTGTGGTTAAAAAAAAAGCAGATGGAAAAACAAACAATATGAGGAGGGAAAAAGAAAGAATCAAAAAGACATCCCCAGACCTAAAAAAGAACTCACAGAAACAAAACTCACAGAAAATAACAGATTAAAACTTTTCATCCAGTATCAAATCCTCAGGAAAGCAGAGGGAGGAGGGGGGGGAGAGGGTTGCACTGCTCATTTAAAAAAATGTGGGGTTTTTTGAGAAAATGGAAGGAATGGTGGCACGGGCAAAAGGGACTACTTGTAGGAACAATCCTCTGGGACATAAGGGGATAAAGCAGTAATGTACAACCAACCACAGAATGCGGGGGCCAATAGGAGAATACGATGAGAGCAACAGAGGCAATGATCGACATAAAAGCCGGGGGGCCAGGGGGAGCACACATGGGGGAAGCAAAGTTCTAGTTAGGGTGATTTCAAACAAAGGGATTGACTGGGAAAAACCCGGACCCCCCATGGGGGGCCCGAAAAATGGAGAGCCCAAAATGATGGATGTGGTACTGGAAAACCTCATGCATGAACATTTAGGACACTACCAAGAGAGAGGAGAGGATGAAAAAAACCCGCAAGGCTGACCTTGTATTCACCTGATATTTTAGACATCGAGGGTATCATGTATGAAAGCACCCGGGAGCTAGTATCATTGGGTTTTGTGCTCGACTACAATTGACCCAAGTGGAGAAGTAGCAGGAATAGGCTGGGAAAAAACCCAAAACAAAAGGGGGAACTACTCAGGCATAGGAAATTCCCTTTAACATTTAGTGGGAGGGAACTGACAGGGAAAAAAAAAAGTACAAAAAAAGATGGACTAGTAGCAACAAAATGCAAGGAGGCAGAGGAGAGGGTTTTTTCCCAAGGGAAAAAAGAAATAATGGGAAAACAGAACGAGTCCTGGTTCACCCAAAGGTGTAGGGAAAGGGAAAAAATAGGTGTGTAGGAATGGAAAGGTACAGAAAAGAATCAGGAAAATAAAAAAATCAGCCCCAAGAGCCAAAAGAATATGCAAAAGAAAGAAAGAGGGGCAGAGACAAAATGAAATGACATAGCACAAAAGTAAAAACTTGCCGAAGCTGTTGTACAGCCACATCAGGAGGAAAACAACAGTCAAGGACCAGGTAATCAGACTGAGGAAGGGTGATGGGGGAATCACAAAAAAAGCCAAGAGGTATGTCAGAGTCAACACAAATTTAAAAGGGTATTAAAAAGGGAACCAGTGCTGATGAGGTACATTAACCAAGGAGGAGGTGGGAAAAAGCTGCTATGCGAACTTTACACCCCAAAGGCGGGGGGCCCCGACAAAAACTCCCATGGGCCCTTAAAAAGGAGCAGAATTTGTTGAGCCATTAACAAAATCTTTAACAATAAATTTTTAAATGGGGAACTCCCTGAGGTAGGAAAATGGCAAATGTAGTCCCAATTTTTTTAAAAGGGAGACAGACAGAGGCACTAAATACAGACCCGTTCACTAACGTGAAGTATGCAAGGTCATGGAGAAGATCAGGGGGAGAGTGGTGGGGCACCTGGAAAGAAACAAGTGTATAATTGACAACCACACGGTTTCAGGGAAGGAAAATCCTGTGTCACAAACCTAACTAAGTTTTATGACAAGGTGACAGAAGTAAGACAAGAGAGGGGGTGGATCGACTGCATATTTTTGGACTGCAAAAAGGCCTTCGACACAGTTCCTCACAAGAGGTTACTGCAAAAGCTAGAGGATCAGGCACACATAACAGGGAAAAGGGACTGCAATGGATCGAGAATATCTGACAGGGAGGCAAACAACGAGTCATGGTACACGACGAGGTATCAGAATGGGCACCTGTGACAAGCGGGGTTCCACAGGGGTCAGTCCTAGGACCTTGCTGTTCTTTGGTATATGTGAACGACATAACGGAAGGGATAGACTCAGAAGTGTCCCTTTTTTGCAGATGATGCGAAGTTAATGAGAAGAATCAAATCGGATGAGGAAACAGCAGGACTACAAAGAGACCTGGACAGGCACAAGCCCGGTCCAGCAAATGGCTCCTTGAATTTTAACCCTGCCAAATGCAAAGTCATGAAGATTGGGGAAGGGCAAAGAAGACCGCAGACACAATATAGTTTAGATGGCCAAAGACTGCAAGCCTCACTCAAGGAAAAAGATCTGGGGTGAGTATAACCCCCGAACATATCTCCTGAGGCGCACATCAATCGATAACTGCTGCAGCATACGGGCGCCTGGCAAAACTCGGATAGCGTTCCGATACCTCAGTAAGGATTCGTTTAAGACTCTGTATACCATTTACGTCAGGCCCATACTGGAGTATGCAGCACCAGTTTGGAATCCACACCTAGTCAAGCACGTCAAGAAATTAGAGAAAGTGCAAAGGTTTGCAACAAGACTAGTCCCAGAGCTACGGGAATTGTCCTACGAAAAAAGGTTGAGGGAAATCGGCCTGACGACACTGGAGGACAGGAGGGTCAGGGGAGACATGATAACGACATATAAAATACTGCGCAGAATAGACAAGATGGACAAAGACGGGATGTTCCAGAGAAGGGACACAGACACAAGAGGTCACAATTGGAAGTTGAAGACTCAGATGAATCAAAGGGATGTTAGGAAGTATTTCTTCAGTCATAGAGTAGTCAGGCCGTGGAATAGCCTAGAAAGTTACGTAGTGGAGGCGGGAACCATACATAGTTTTAAGACGAGGTATGATAGAGCTCATGGGGCAGGAAGAGAGAGGACCTAGTAGCAATCAGCGAAGAGGCGGGGCCAGGAGCTGTGAATCGACCCCTGCAACCACAAATAGGTGAGTACAAATAGGTGAGTACACACGCACACACACACACTGCTCTTCAAAAACCGGTGGGGATTTAAGAAAATGGATGGAACGGACGAAATGGGCGAGAGGCTCTACACAGTAGGTACAATTCAGTCTGTGGGACATAAGGTACTCATTGCAGTGATGTACAACCCGCTACAGAACTACAGGAGGTCCAGAGAAGTAGAGCTCATACGGGCAGAGCAAAGCTACTAGTCATGGGGATTTCAATCACAATGAGATTGATTGGGAAAACCTGGAACTACATGGGGGCCCCGGAACGTGCAGAGCCAAGATGATGGATGTGGTACTGGAAAACCTCATACATCAACATGTTAAGGACATTACCAAGAGAGAGGATGAACCAGCAAGACTAGTCCTCGTAGTCACCTTGAGTAGCCCGGACATCGAGGACATCACAAATGAAAGGCCCCTCAAAGCTAACTATCACGTCGTTCTGAGCTTCGAACACATAGTAGAGTTACAAGTGGAGAGGGTAACAGGAGTAGGATGGGGAAAGTCAAACTACAAAAGGGATGACTACACAGGCATTACGAACTTTCTGAAAGAGGTTCCCTGGGAAAGAGAATTTGTAGGAAAATCAGTAAACGAAATGATGGAATACGTGACAGGCTAGGTGGCCAAAGACTGCAAACCTCGCTCAAGGAAAAGGATCTCCGGGTGAGTATAATACTGAGCAAATCTCCTGAGGTGTACATCAACCAGATAACTGCTGCAGCATATGGGCGCCTGGCAAACCTGAGAATAGCATTCTGATACCCAAATAAGGAAGCACTGTGTATGTCAGGCCCATGCTGGAGTATTGAGCACCAGTTTGGAACCCACGCCTGGTCAACCACATCAAGAAATTAGAGAAAGTGCAAAGGTTTGCAACAAGACTAGTTCCCTAGCTAAAGGAATACCTTACGAAGTAAGATTAGGGGAAATAGTCCTGACGACACTGGAGAATAGGAAAGTTGGGGAGACATGATAACGACATACAAAATATTACGAGGAATTGAGAGGGTGGACAAAGACAGGATGTTCCAGAGGTGGGACACAGAATCAAGGGGTCACAATTGAAAGCTAAGGACTCAGATGAGTCAAAGTTTAGTTTAATATGTTTATTATGAACCCCATACCCATCCTGTGGGCGGTAGTCAAAAGATTACAGAGGTACATAATTGGTCCAGGGACTGGACTCCAAAGTTTTGATAGCTGAGCAAGTTACAGAGGTAATGAACTCACAATTTACAAAGGTAATGAACTCACAATTTACAAAGGTAATGAACACACAATTTACAAAGGTAATGAACTCCAGGTAGGTCTGGTCACAATCATGACAAGTTACAAAGGTATTTACAGATTACAGAGGTACGTAATGGGTCCAGGGACTGGGCCCCCAAAGTTTTGATAGCTGAACTAGGTACAAAGGTAATGAGCTCACAAGTTACAAAGGTAATGAATTCTGTAGAATGGTTACTTACGTTTATACATGCTACAATCATGAACAAATTATAGAGTAATGGTAAGAATATATTTCATTAGTCATAGAGTTGTCAGGAAGTGGAACAGTCTGGCAAGTGATGTACTGAAGGCAGGAATCAGGGAGAGAGAGGGCCCAGTAGCGATCAATGAAAAGGTGGGGCCAGGAGACATGAATCGACACCTGCAACCACAAATAGGTGAATACACACACACACACACAAAACACTTACCTGTTGCATAGTGTATGAGAGCCAGGTGACGTTACCCATCAGAAGGTGCTGAGAGGTTGACAAGTAGGTCAGATCAGCCAGCCCTGTCCACCACACTTGCTCTACTGCCACTTGTAGGCTTACACCAGCATTCCATAATGCCTCCATTAAAAACGTGTCTAGGGGGAAAAGAACGGAATGAAAAGTATTTCCTTTGCTGAAGCAGATGCACACATCAAAGGGAGAACATACAAAGAAAGACGACTGGGAGAGAAAAAATAGAATGGAAATATCATCAAACAGGAGAGGAGGACATAAATGAACTGCCAAATTTTCAGAGAATAGGAAAATACTCGAGAGGAAGAATTCGGTCAGTCAAATTAATTTTGAAGGCAGAAACAGCGAGGAACAGGATCCCACAGCAGTAACCACAGCTAAAGGAAACAGCAAAATACCAGAGGGTGTACCTAGATCACAAAAGAATGAAAGAAACTGAGAGGATACAAAGATGAGAGGGGCAACCTAACTTAACCAACCACAGAAACTGTAACCAACCACAGAACCCAGCAACTATATTATTGCAAAACAAACCACACTCCACACTCACAGACCTACCCCACCCTACACAGTAGACTCCCATAGCACCCTGCCAGGTCTCCAACTCCACCAGCCCTCACAGACCCCCCAGAATACAATATTGGAAAAGAAGCTGAAGGGATGGTACACCAACACAGAAGAAATAACAGATCAGTGTGAGTGGTATGGAATAATCACAGAAGCATTACCAAACATCATAGTTCTCACAGAAACGAAGCTCACAGGAATGAAAATAGACACCATCTTTTCAACTGGATATCAGATCCTGAGGAAAGGTAGAGGGAATAGAGGAGTGAGAGAGTTCCACTTCTCATAAAAAACCAGTGGAGTTTTGAGGAGTTGGAAGGAGGGGACAGAGGTCAGTGGTCAGTGGTCATGTGTGGCCATACCTGTCCTAAGCTGCCTGGGATTTAGCGTGAGGTGTTACCTAGCACCATGGCTTGTTGTAGTGTTTAAAAATCTCAAGTTAAAGTGTTGAAGAAGGAGGTTCTACTTTTTCAGGAGGAAAACAGGAGGCTGAAGCTTCGTCTAGATGGGTTTGGGAGTGAGTGTGAGATGGTTGTAGCTGGAAAGGAGGAAAAAGTTACCAGCAGTGATTTGAAGAGTGGCAGCCGCTTTAGTGGGAAGTGGTTCACAAATCAGGAAGAAGGGTGATAAGGAAGATTAATAGGAGAAAATGCGAAGGTAGGAAATTAATTTCTCTGTTCTCCAAGACGAGTGTACTTCAGTGGTTAGTGAGATGAAAGGTACCACTGAGTCCCCTGCTTATCAAGGTAAGAATATTCTAATTGTGGGAGATTCTCTTGTAAGATATATGGACCGTGCTTTTTGTAACAGAGATGGAAAGGTCAGACTAACCCAAAAGGGTTCTTTCAGGTATACAGAAGTATGATTAGGGACAAGATAGGCCCAATTAAGAGTAACTCAGGTCAGATCACTGACATTGATAGTGAAATGTGTGAAATATTCAATAATTACTTCCTCTCAGTTTTTACTCATGAAGATACTAGCAAAATTCCAGAAATAATAAATCATGTAGAACAGGACGATAATAAACTATGCACGATTGCAGTAACTAGTGACGGTCCTGAGACAAATAGAGAAATTAAAACTTAACAAATCCACAGGCCCCGATGAACTGTTTGCAAGGGTTTTAAAGGAATGTAAAGAGGAACTTAGCAAACCTTTGGCTAATCTTTTCAACATATCACTACAAACTGGCATAGTGCCTGATAAGTGAAAAATGGCACATGTAATACCTATTGTGGGAAAATTTATGGAATCTATAATTGCCGAGGCAATTCGTAGCCATCTTAAAAGGCATAAATTGATTAATGAATCTCAACATTGTTTTACAAAGGGGTATTTGAGGAGGTAGATCATGGAATTGAATGTGGCATTGTGTATATAGACTCCAGTAAGGCTTTCGATAGAGTTCCACATCAGAGGCTATTGAGGAAACTTAAGGCATACGGAAGAGGAGAAATTTTTTCCTGGGTAGAGGCATGGTTGACAAATAGGCAGCAGAGAGTTTGCATAAATGGGGAGAAATCAGAATGGGGGCACGTCACAAGCGGTATTCCACAGGGGTCAGTGTTGAGCCCCTTGTTGTTCACAATTTCCATAAACGACCGTCCAATTCATTCTAATGAGGACAATAGAGCACTCCAGGATGATTTGAATGGTCGGAGAAGTGGCAGATGCAGTTTAATATAGACAAATGCAAAGTTCTTAATGTTGGAAAGGATAATAACCATGCCACATATAAACTAAATAATGTAGATCTTAATATTACTGTTTGCGACAAGGATTTAGGAGTTCTGGTTAGCAGTAACCTGAAACCAAGACAGTGCATAAGCGTTCGCAATAAAGCTATCAGAATCTTTGGCTTCATATCAAGAAGCATAAATAATAAAAATCCTGAGGTTTTTCTTAAATTCAACATATCCTTGGTTACGCCTCATTTAAATTATGGTGCACAGTTGTGGTCACGGTATTGCAGAATGGATATAAATGCACTGGAAAACGTACAGAGGAGGATGACAAAGTTGATCCCATGTATCAGAAATCTTCCCTATGAAGATAGGCTGAGGGCCCTGAATCTGCACTCTTTAGAAAGGCGTAGAATTAGGGGGGATATGATTTAGGTGTATAAATGGAAAACAGGAATGAAAAAGGAGATGTTAATAGCGTGCTAGAAATATCTAACATAAACAGGACTCGCAGCAATGGTTTTAAGTTGGAAAAATTCAGATTCTGGAAGGATATAGGAAAGCACTACTTTGGTAATAGTGTTATGGATGATAGGAACAAACTCCCTAGTACTGTTATAGAAGCTAAGACGTTGTGTAGTTTTAAAATATGTTAGATAAATACATGAGTGGGTGTGGAGGGGTTTGTGAGTTAAACCTGACTAGCTGGTGCTACTGGGTCAGATGCCGTGCTCTTCCTTTAAGTGGAGGTGATCTGAGGGTGGGCCATTGGTCTAAGCCAGGGGTTGACATGGACCTGCCCCACATGTGCAGTAGGCCTGCTGCAGTGTTCCTTCTTTCTTATGCTTTTTAGGGTTCTTATGTAGAAGGAACTCTTCAGATGAAGGTCCCAAGGTGGTGACTGCAGTGATGTAAAACCCCACCACAAAAATATCAGGAGGCCAAAACAAGAACATGAGAGCAACAGAGCAAGGGTTGATGCACTATTTTGGGTTTGGCCAGAAGAGCCATGCCATTAGGGCAAATTTTACTAATTGTGGATGACTTCAATCCCAAAGGGAAAATTTGACTGGGAAAACCTGGAGCCACAGGGGGGACCAGAAACCTGGTGGGGTAAGATGATGGAGGTTGTACTGGAAAAACCATGCGTCAGCACGTTAGGAACATTACCAGAGAGAAGAGGGGAAACAAAACCAGCTAGGCTGGACCTATTCACCTCGAATAGTTCAGACATTGAGAATATAACATATAAAAGGCCCTCAGAGCTAGTGATCATGGGGGTCCTGAGCTACGAAACATAGTAGAGTTGCAAGTGGAGCAGGAAGCGGGAAGAATTGGATGGGGAAAAACCCAAAAACTACAAAGAGGGCATGAGGAAATTTCCTGTATGAGGTTCAGTGGGAAATACAACTGGTGGGAAAGTCTGTAAATGAAATGATGGAATACGTGACAACAAAATGCAAGGAGACAGAGGAGAGGGTTCGTTCCCAAGGGCAGGTAGAAATAATGGAAGACTAAAGGGCAAAACTAAGTGCGCAAAGGGAAATGGAGAAAGTAAGAAAAACAAAGGACCTAGGAAAATAAGGAAATTAGTCGAAGAGCCAGAAATGAATATACTAGATAAGGGAAGAGGTCAGCGGCATTATGAAAATGACAAAATCGCGGGTCGCAAGCTCTGATCTGAAGGTGTTGTAAAAGCCACGTCGGGGAGGAAAAAAAAGAGTCGGGGGACTCTCCTGGAATTTTACAAGTGTTGCGAATAAGAAATTTTATAAAGAACTTCAGAATGTGGTCTGTTACTATTTTCTTCATTGACAAAAAGATTTTGGATCAGAGTTAGTTAAAAGTATTTTAGAGTCTAGAGGAAATAATTTCAACTGGGAAACTCCATGGGAATAATGTTAAAAATTTATTAAAGTATTTAAATACAATACTTTATCTTTTCTCTGTACCTAATATAACTTAATACTTTGTACAATAAATTTACAATAATATATATTTTTAGTTCAAAATCAGGAAGTATCACATTAATAAGGAAGATTAATTATTCTTCCTGTAATTAAGTCTTCACTAACATTTACGTCTTTGTCTTAACAAGACTGTAAACTCAAACTACAAAATGTACAAGATTCAAACAAGACCTTTGAATCTGACCGTAAAGTAAGTAGAAAGCAAGAGTTTGTCTGAAGAAGACGTATCTCTATGGATTACTGAACTGACCAAGAATATTATTATCAAAAAAATCTTTCAGAGCAATGAGGAACAAACTAAGTCAGCTCTAGAGCCTAATTCTCAACCCCTTCAAACTCTACACCCTAAGAGAGAACCAATATACGATCAGTGTCAAGGTTAGAAACAGGGAGTGGACTGACTACCTGCCAGTTTGTTGACGCGTCGTCAGGTTGGATAACCTGATCAAACGTCAGTCAGCAGGACATAAACAATTGAACAATTTTACCGGATGGTTTCCGAGACTTGTATGCTGTACATACATAAGAAATCCTACCTAATAATAGTAATAAAAATTTAATAATAAAATAATAGTGATAATACCATGATATTTTTTATTATTAACAGATAATAATTTTAACGCCGAAAGTCTCTATTCTAGCTATAAACGGGGACTTTCGCTCTATAATATTAAGTGATGATCATATTCTCTTACAATAGTTAAATATCACAGGATGACCAAAAGCCAAGATATAAAAACAAGGTGACAGAAGTAAGACAAATGAGAGTTAGAGAGGGGTAGATATAATTTTTTAGACTGTAAAAAGGGTCTCGAAACAGATCGACACAAGAGATTAGTGCAAAAGCTAGAGGATCAGGCAGGAATAACAGAAAAGCCACTGCAATTTATCAGAGAATAC